GCGCTTTACCGTCGGAGCCTTTGCGCTTTACCGTCGGAGCCTTTGCGTCGCGCAGCTTTACTGTCGGAGTCTTTGCGCCGCGCAGCTTTACTGTCGGAGTCTTTGCGTCGCGCAGCTTTACTGTCGGAGTCTTTGCGTCGCGCAGCTTTACTGTCGGAGTCTTTGCGTCGCGCAGCTTTACTGTCGGAGTCTTTGCGTTATGATGTTATTCGTGGTGGAGAGAGACGGACCTGATACTCGGCGTAGTTCTTCAATCCGATACCCAGGAAAGGCTTGAAGGCATCCATGTATTTCTGGAAGTCACTGCCCAGAACTGAAACAGGAACAGATTAACATCAACACAATCGGCCTCCACAATACATGTGATGTGTGTGTTTCAGAGTATGTACCTTCCACCAGCGTAGACACGGCCATCAGAGCGTCCTCCTGGACTCCTCCGGAGCCAGCGGTGCTCTGAAACATCCTCAGCAGAGACGCCATCACCACGTCTGAGATCTGCAGGGCGTCCTGATGCTGCACTTTACGCAGGACGTTCTGCAACAACACCACACAGGAAGTGTCATAATAAAAGCATCGACGGAATTTTGACTATTCCAAAGTAAGAGCGTGATTGACAGCTCAAGTGTGCCGTTCTCACCTGTAGAGTGGCACACAGCAGCGACTGCAGGTCGTTGAACTGGATTCTGTCTGAGGTGCTCTGGATGTGAGACTGGGGACACAGGAAGTGACATTACACAGGAGGAAGCAGCTAGGAAGTGAACGCACTGTATTCATCTATTGATCAACTACAGGAAGTGAAGTGTGGAGATCTCAGATAAATGTGGTTGGTGTTTTCATCACAAGTCAGCGTGGTGCATGATTATCATCAAGAACCTCAAACACATTCAGCTACAGCAGAGGTAGCCACACGGTGCCCGCGGGCACCTGGTCGCCCACAAGGCATGTTCTCAAAATAGCACTCGTCACCATGGAGCTCCGTCTAGTTCTTTTTTAAATCAAAAACGCATTACTGTAGATTTCAAAAGGACGCGGCCGTCGCACCGCACTAGGTTTTCAGGTTTCGAATGGCGGGCATTTCCTGTTGGCGCCGGACACGCGGCCCAAGCCGTCAGGTCAGTCAGTCCTCGGAACAGGCTGTGGGGCAACAACTGGTGGTTGGCGGGGGTAGAGGTGAGGCAACGCAGTCCGACTGAAAAGGCCCAGACTAGAGGTTTGAATGCGGGTGTGATCCCCCCCCGGCTATAGACGAGACTTTTTACTGGTGTTGGTGAGAACAGACGGGGCTCCCGCCGTGACGGGCCGGCATGCAGGCTTCATTGCTCAATGCAAAGGTGACCCAGACTTCCCAACATGTGGTGATTAGTACTAATGGAATAGGACGAACTTAAAATGTGAAAGAGTTGATTTATTTTATTCTACATAACTGATCATTTGTATAAACATGGGACAGTTCATGATTTGTTCAAACATGTTACAAAGGTAGTGGTTAGTACAAACCAGACATGATGTGAAGATATGAAAAAATGTTAGAAGTGATAATTTGTACAAAAATATAATCATTGTTAATTATTGTGAGGAATAATTAACAATGACATGTGATCAGACAGTCTCTTCACATATATTATTATTATTAAAAGGTGATCTGTGCAACTTTGTTATTCAGGAAGTTTGTATGAAACAAGTAGCCCTTCTTACTACGCCCTTAAAGTAGCTCTCAGTTTAAAAAGGTTGGTGACCCCTGAGCTACAGCATGATGGATCCAGACACGAACAGATTTAATGACACTAAAGAACAGAAAGGTTTGACTTTCTAAGAGTCTCACCTCCATCTGAAGGACCTGCTGCAGCCTCTCCATGATAACCAGCGTGGTCTTCTGGACCGCGGGGTAACAGTCCTTAGCGCTGTTCTTCACGATCTCCATCAGAGCCTCGTAGGCAGCAGAGCGAAGGTTGTTCTGGTGACCGTCGGGTCTGCACAGGAAACATCATCAGTACTACAGTTCTATTCATCAACGTGACTACAGTGAAGAATGAGTTCCGTCACATTTATTATCTGCAGTTATTCCAACGTGTCATATGTTTTCAACATTTAGCATCAGCAGATAATATTAAAAGACTGATCAGGACGGGGACAGTTTGATTCTTAAAATTAACGGATCATTGTGACGTTGCATGAATCATTTCAAACCCCCGACCCGATCCATTAAACTACGTTTACGAAACTCTGACTCCAGAATGTGAAGTGTGGAGGTCTCAGATAAATGTGGTTGGTTTTGTCATCACAGTCAGCGTGGTGCATGATTATCATCAAGGACCTCAAACACATCGACACAGGAGGTGGGTGACTGTCGGAGTCTTTGCGGCGCGCTGGTTTTGCTGTCGGAGTTTGATTCTTAATGTTAATGGATTATTATTATTATTGTAACGTTATAGGAATCATTTCAAACAGAGTCTAACTGAAAGAAACCAGGAAGTAGCCGCTGCGAACGGTCTATTGGAAAACTACACCTGACATTTATTGTGAAACTGAAACCAGGAAGTCTCTGCAACAGGAAGCTGTGACAGACATCCCATTGCCCCCCCCCGTACCTGTCTGTGGTCTCCAGAAGCTTCTGGACGATGATCTCAAAGGAGGAGGACAGACAGTATGTGCTGGGCTCCTCTTGGTCCTCTGCAGCATCTGTAGCCTCATAAGCTGCTTCAGCCAGAGAGGAGAAGGCCTGAGGAAGAGGAGACGACACGACGTTAACCTCTTCTTCTGCATCTTTTAACCTGCAGCCACTCAGCCCTCCAATCAGGACTACAGGAGCCCCGAGGGACCAAACTCTTGTTTCCACCATAGTGACTTCTACAGGACGTATTCATTTATTGATCCACTACTGGAAGTGATTGAAGTGTGGAGGTCTCAGATAAATGTGGTTGGTGTTTACATCACAAGTCAGCGTGGTGCATGATTATCATCAAGAACCTCAAACACATTCAGCTACAGCAGAGGTAGCCACACGGTGCCCGCGGGCACCTGGTCGCCCACAAGGCATGTTCTCAAAATAGCACTCGTCACCATGGAGCTCCGTCTAGTTCTTTTTTAAATCAAAAACGCATTACAGATTCAGCTGAAACAACATCGGAACAACAGAGACAGATTTAGTTTTAAAAAGGTGGAGCCAGCTGATGAACTCATTTCTCAGCATGTTGCCCTTTAATTCTTACACTGAATTAAATAGTGTATTTTTGCTCTCTGCTCACGTCACAGTTCAAATCAAACAGGAATGTTCAGAATGGACGTAGAGTTCAAAGTTTAGAATATAGTGTGACTTTTCTGCCTTTTGTTCTACACTTTTATCATACTTGACGATGCACATTTATGTATTTATTTGGGCGCTTTTAAATGATGCCCATTGCCCCCGATTGTCCCTCTCTGGAGCTACAAGAACTATGAGCCAGAAAAGTCCCACTAGGAGAACCTTCAAGACAAATAGTCCAACAGATTTTAAAAAAGTTCTTACTGGTCTATTTCTGTTCAGTTCTAGAGTAATTGATCTGTGAACATGACCCTGATACACCCACACACACTCATGTAACATCGAGGTCCTTCCATAACTCCCAGCTCACCCAGCAGACGTTGGAGGCCACTCTGGGCTCTGCTCCCAGCCCCTCGATGAGACACTGCAGCAGAGGAGCCAGGTAGACCTCGTTGATGGCTGCTACAGGAAGCAGCTCACAGATCCTCCCCACGGTCCAGGCTGTGGTGTCTCTGACCACCACGCTGGGGTCCTTCATCAGCTCGATCAGGGTGGGCATCGCCTGTAGAGGGTTAACTGGTTAGTGACTGACCCGTATGACCAGGTGTTAACTGGTTAGTGACTGACCCGTATGACCAGGGTTAACTGGTTAGTGACTGACCTGGATGGTGAGTGGTTTGAGCTGGTTGAGTTCAGGTCCCTCCAGGATGGATCCGAAGGCCATGATGGAGGCGTCTCTGTAGCGCCAGTCGAGGTGTTTGATGTGTTCTTTGATGAAAGGCAGAACGTGAGGAACCACGTCGTCCTCACAGCAGGTGGCCAGCAGCATCAGACACACACCTGCAGCCTTACAGGGGTTCCAGTCGTCATCGTCGTCGTTCTCATCCTGAAAGTATTCAGGTCAGAGGTCAAAGGACTGGGTGCTGGTTAGAGTGTGAATATTATTAAAGATGTTAAAGCAGAACACACCTGTTTGGTGAGGGTCTGGGTCAGGATGGGGACCAGGTACTGCAGGGCCCCTTTGGCGTAGAACTTACTGGTGTGCTCGGGGGGGCGTCCCTGCTCCGAGGCCTACCATTGGACGAGAACAGACAGGAAGAAAACAGTCAAGGGGGGGCGGGGGGGGGGGGCGCTAACAAACTGGAACCAAAGTGTAAACGGAGTAAAGTCTGCTTACACAGACCTCTGAGGCCTCGATGGCCAGATCCATCTCCTCGTCACAGACGTTGGACCAGAACTCGATGCCCTGCAGGGCCACTTCATCGATGTCGCTCTTCATCGCCTCGATGGTGATCTGAGGAAGCAACCAAACAGAGAGGAGGGAGAAACGACAAATTAAAATCATGATTTGAAGCATTGAACTTGTTAAAAACACTTTATTCACGTTAACAAAGATCTTTCACCCTCTGAACCCACAGGCTGGATTTTAAAGCTAGTTTCCTTCAAACAGTTACTCACTCATTAACGTCTTTCCAACGGTCCTCAAACACCTCATTATAAACCTCTCCAGTCAAAGCGTTCACTAAGAACATTACAGCGTGAGCTCCTCAGTGAAACTGACGTCATGATTGATTCATCTGAGACCAACAGTCATGTGACAACAAGGAGGAGACACTCTGACTGAACTACAGGAAGTGAACACAGAGAGGAGAGCAGAGCGATGAGAGCTGAGAGCAGAGATTAGAGCAGAGATTAGAGTTCAACTTTTTAATGATTGATGTCATCATAACTGTTGTTCTGCACTAAAGGCATGTTCTAGTTCTACTTCTAGTCATCATGGTTGTTTCATAGAGGAGCAGGACTTTTATCCTGAAAATCAAGACCACAGAGAGTAAAACCACCTGAAACTGCTGCAGATTATTTTTACCAACAAAAGAAACTAGTTCTCACCGCAAACAGAGCTGGACCCATGTAGGTCTCCATGTACTGATAATACAGAGACATGATCTTCACCAGGTTCTGTAGGGCCGCCACACGCACCTGGAGGACAGACAGACAGATGAGAGGACAGACAGGCAGACAGGCCAGAGGACAGACAGACAGGGCAGAGGACATGTTACTCACTCTGGTGTCGGGACACTGCGTCGCTTCACACACCACCTGCATGATGAAGTGTCTCTCCGTCTGAAAAACAAAGGACACAAAATCTGTTTCACACCAAAAAACAACAACAACTCCTACAAAATAAAACTACATCCTCTTTGGTTACACTTCTATTTACAGGCTTGAATTAGAGCTTTTGGAGGAAACATGCAAGTCATTGAGCTAAACTATTAGTAAATACAGACGACTTTGTGGTGGTACACCCTGGGTTCTGTCTCTCGGGGTGCGAGGTGTTACACCCTGGGTTCTGTCTCTCGGGGTGCGAGGTGTTACACCCTGGGTTCTGTCTCTCGGGGTGTGAGGTGTTACATCCTGGGTTCTGTCTCTCGGGGTGTGAGGTGTATCATGTTAGAGCTCGTGGTTACCTCCTTGTCAAAGTTGGCCTTGGTGAATTCCAGAGAGTTGAGCAGCGCGTTGGTTGCCGCCAGCTTCACGTTGTTACTGGGCTCCTCCTTCCTCATGCCCTGGATGATGGCCGTCAGGATCTGGTTGGCGTTCTCCTGCAGCTGTTCTGGGTCGATGTCCTGGCAGATGTAGCCGATGGCCTCCAGCGTTGACTCCTTCATGTGTTCGGTGCTGGAGGGGTCGGTGACGTTGGCCACCAGCTGGGGGATCAGCTCGGGCCACTGGTTCACAGGGATCTCGGCGCAGGCGATGCCGGCGACGCACTGAGAGGCCGAGCTGGGCCTGTACGTCTCCGTGCCCAGAGTCTGTAAAACCTGGAGGACAAAGAGACGGACGTAAGGACAACAAGACGTAAAGATGAACTGAAGCTGCGAGTTTGGAGATCTGGTCCTCACGTAGTTCTTGATCTCGCGGCGAGCGTTGCCGTCGATGGCTAGCCATCTCTGCTGGTACTGCGTCTTCACATCGGGGTCTTTGGAGGTCAGAGAGTTCTTCACCTGCAGACCGGCAGCCACTCGGGCAACCTGAGTGTTGCCAGGGTTGGCCAACACTTTGGACAACTCCACCAGGAACGTGGGCTGAAGGGAGAAGGAGGACAACACACTGAGACCACAGTGAGAAGCAGAAAACTAATTTATTATTCAGTTATTAGTCAGTATTTCAGCTCTAGTTGAACAGCTGGCTAGTTAGCATCTTTTTTTTTCTCCAATCAATATTATTAATAACCTTTATTTAGACAAAATCCATTGAGACCGAAGTCTCATTTCATAAGTTTGTCATAAAAACAAAGATAGCAAGAGTAGCGAGAACCATCGCCTGTACAAAGAGAGTGATTAGTATTCATTGAACCCTGTTACTGTACGGCTTCATATTAACTTCCACTGTTACTGTACAGCTGTTAGAATTGTGGCCTGTCTTCTATTTGCAATTAATATGCATTCAATCCAGTTCAATTATTTAAATGAAAATGGTAATCTACTCTGGCTGAGGTACCTTATCAAGAGTAAAATAATAGCTGTGATTCAACTGCATGTGGGACTGTTTGTTCACACTGTTCACTGTAATGACCACAGTGAACAGTGTGATGAGAGGACATGTGAGCCCTTGTTGCTGTAGTTCATCTCATGGAGCAGAGGCTACATGTAGCATAGCCTGCCATATCAATGTATTTAAAACACTGACAGCAGGAAGCTGTACTCACGTCTGTTTAGACCTCCACCTTTATCCAGGCCCAGCTCCACCTTTATCCAGGCCCAGCTCCACCTTTATCCAGGCCCACCTCCACTCACATCTCAGCCCTGCTTCAAGCTGCGCTACACAACCAGCCTCCTCTCCCTGAAGCTCTTTGACCTCATCATCTCATCAGTATCTGGGCCTCATGTTTCATTATCTTAAACGTTATTCTGACCACGAAATCATCCTCATTCTACTTTAAGTTAAAACAAACAACCTGCCACCAGATGCGCCGGTGTTCCGGTTTAACGTTAATGAGTGACCGCGTGAACTGAACCGGAACACGTCCTAAATCACGATAATGACGAATGTTAACAGTCGATAAAGTTCCGCATGCAGTGGACGTTAACTTAACCCAGCAAGTCTGAACGGTAACAGAACGGAACTTGACTCGACACGTCACATCAAAGATGTTTTATTGTGAAGATCACGACATCACATTTTCTCCTCGTCTCACTCCAATCTGAGAAACGCCGGCTGGCCAGTTGGTTCACTATCAAAGAAATCAAGTAATCAGATTACTGGTACTCTAACACCCGACCGTGGTACTAATACTGTGACCATGCGTAGTCGAAGCAGTCCTACATTATAGATGTGGACTTCTAGCTCACTAGCAGTTTGTGGAGCTTCTTAACTATGAAAATGTTGGAGCATCAATTTTCTACAGATATTTAAATTAGTAATGGGCAAGTTAAGTAAACTTAAAGTAAATATGTGCGCATATACATATACACGTACACGCGCGCACACACACACAAACCTCAAAAAATTAAAGGGAACACTTAAGCAACACATCCTAGATCTGAATGAATGAAATAGTCTTATTAAATACTTTGTTCTTTACATAGTTGAATGTGCTGACAAAAAAAAAATAAAAAAAATTATCAATGAAAATGAAATTTATTAACCCATGGAGGTCTGGATTTGGAGTCACACTCAAAACTGAAGTGGAAAAACACACTACAGGCTGATCCAACTTTGATGTAATGTCCTTAAAACAAGTCCAAATGAGGCTCAGTAGTGTGTGTGGCCTCCACGTGCCTGTATGACCTCCCTACAACACCTGGGCATGCTCCTGATGAGGTGGCGGATGGTCTCCTGAGGGATCTCCTCCCAGACCTGGACTAAAGCATCCGCCAACTCCTGGACAGTCTGTGGTGCAACGTGTGGCGTTGGTGGATGGAGCGAGACATGATGTCCCAGATGTGCTCAATTGGATTCAGGTCTGGGGAACGGGCGGGCCAGTCCATAGCATCAATGCCTTCGTCTTGCAGGAACTGCTGACACACTCCAGCCACATGAGGTCTAGCATTGTCTTGCATTAGGAGGAACCCAGGGCCAACCGCACCGGCATATGGTCTCATAAGGGGTCTGAGGATCTCATCTCGGTACCTAATGGCAGTCAGGCTACCTCTGGCGAGGACATGGAGGGCTGTGCGGCCCTCCAAAGAAATGCCACCCCACACCATTACTGACCCACCGCCAAACCGGTCATGCTGGAGGATGTTGCAGGCAGCAGAACGTTCTCCACGGCGTCTCCACTCTGTCACGTCTGTCACATGTGCTCAGTGGAACCTGCTTTCATCTGTGAAGAGCACAGGGCGCCAGTGGCCAAGTTGCAAATCTTGGTGTTCTCTGGCAAATGCCAAACGTCCTGCCCGGTGTTGGGCTGTAAGCACAACCCCCACCTGTGGACGTCGGGCCCTCGTACCACCCTCATGGAGTCTGTTTCTGACCGTTTGAGCAGACACAGGCACATTTGTGGCCTGCTGGAGGTCATTTTGCAGGGCTCTGGCAGTGCTCCTGCTGTTCCTCCTTGCACAAAGGTGGAGGTAGCGGTCCTGCTGCTGGGTTGTTGCCCTCCTATGGCCTCCTCCACGTCTCCTGATGTACTGGCCTGTCCCCTGGTAGCGCCTCCATGCTCTGGACACTACGCTGACAGACACCGCAAACCTTCTTGCCACAGCTCGCATTGATGTGCCATCCTGGATGAGCTGCACTACCTGAGCCACTTGTGTGGGTTGTAGACTCCGTCTCATGCTACCACTAGAGTGAAAGCACCGCCAGCATTCAAAAGTGACCAAAACTTCAGCCAGAAAGCATAGGAACTGAGAAGTGGTCTGTGGTCACCACCTGCAGAACCACTCCTTTATTGGGGGTGTCTGTCTTGCTAATTGCCTATAATTTCCACCTGTTGTCTATTCCATTTGCACAACAGCATGTGAAATTGACAGAAGTGTGATTGACTTGGAGTTACATTGTGTTGTTTAAGTGTTCCCTTTATTTTTTTGAGCAGTATATATATATATATATATATATATATATATATATATATATA